GCATCTGACAACAGAACAACATCTCTATCACAGAACATGACTTCTGCATCCTCCTATCTGCCAACAGATTGAAACTTTCTTTTATGAACTAAGGGGAATTATGAAAGATTTTCTAATCTAATATGTTCTCTTCTCCTTAGTGTTCTTTAAACTAAATTTTAATTTGTCTTTATATCTGTTCATCCTTCTTCCATTTTTTCTTTGGTATGTAATAACCACTGATCACATTTTTTCACTCATTACACAACTATGTAATAGGCATCTTCTGTGATATACCTCTATTTCTTTGTTCTTTATGTATATATTTTTACTATATATTTAGGGGTGTATGTAAAGTTTTTTTCAGTGGAAACAGTGTGTCTCAAAGTATTTTGAATGCTGTAATTCCAAAGCTCAAGTCAAAATACTCTTGACAAAATATTCTTGACAATACTCTTGACAATTTTTTTAAATCTGAATCACAGAAGCCCAGAATTGCAGTGTCTGAGATTGGAAGGGACATCTGGAAATCATGTAGTCCACACCTCTTCTCAGAGCAGGGTCACCTAGAGCAGGTTCATCAGGAATGCATCCAGCGCAGTTTCGAGTATCTCTGAGGATGAAGATTCTCCACTTTCTCTGGACCACCTCTTTCACTGTTTGATCCTCCTTACAGTGAAAATGGTTTTTTTTCCTATGTTTAAACTGAAATTCTTGTTTTTCAGTTTGAGCACATTGCCTCTTTTTCTGTCACTGCGAAGAGTCTCATTCTGTCTGCTTTATTGCCTTCCACCATTATTTATACACATCGATAAATCCTGCCGGTGCCTTCTCATCTCAAAGCTGATCAGTCTCAGCTGTCTTGGCCTTTCCTCACATGGCAGATGTTCCAGACTCTTAATCATCTTTGTAGCCCCTTGCTCAACTTACTCCAGTAAGTCCATATGTCTATCTTGACACAACACTCCAGATGTGTCTCATCAATGCTGAGTAGAGGTGTGAGTTCACCTCCCTTGACCTGGCAGGCAACACTCTGCATAATGCAGCTGCAGACCCCATTGGCCTCCTTTGCTGTGAGAGCACATCGCTGCCTCATGGGCAACTTGTTCCACATGGAAACCCAGGTCCTTCTCTGTCAAACTCCTTTCCATGAATAGCCTTTTTATGAGTAGCTTAAAAATTACATCAGCTAACTCCTTCAGCAGTCATGGATGCATTCTCATCAGGTTCTACGGAACAAGAGCTTGAAAACTATGGTTTCTACCTATGGATATGTATACCAACAACATTAAGTCTCCCAGTAAATCTTTCCTGAAATGTTCTTAGTCTATTGCATTTAAGACAGTACAAAAATCCTCCCAAGAAGAAGATAAAATGCTCAGTAACTGAAGGGAACTAACAATACCTGTTACTACTTCTCCAACCTGCACACAAAAGGTCCAGTAGCCTCACTTACTAAAACTTACATAATTATTCTGCAAAATATATACACACCTAATCCAAAATTCCTGACTAATATTCCCATTTGGGGTGCAATAATCCCTGTAGTTGTTCCTAAATTAATTTTTGTGCATCATGGTCTACTTTGTCCTTTAAAGTTCAATCCTTTTACCCTATCGATTCCATCATAGCTTCAGGTTTTAGCTTCCCATAGTCCAAGGGCAAGAATATTTCAAGTGTTCTAATATAACTTCCATTTATTAGAATAAATTAATATAAACGTATTATCTTCATAACTGTCATTGAAATATAAATACACGTTGCAAATTGTCAAAGCATTTCTAGCAACACGAAGGAAACAAAAGAGAAAGACAAAGGGGAAAAGAGAAGTGGAAGTAGGAAAAGCGAGAGGAAAGAGGGAGGGAGAAGTAAGATACTCTGTTGCCCGGAAGAGGATGTATTTGTTCAAAGCACATAAGGAGAGTTACAGATACGCCATTACTAGAGATACACTTTAAATAAAGCAGTTACTGGGAAACATAAATGGTAAGTAATAGAAGCAAATACATAGTTCAACAGTCACTGGAAATACTGGGCCCCGAGTTTCAATAAATGTACATTTTTCATGAGGTACTCTTGCCATTGTTCTATAGCTGCTGCATAAGTGCATCTCCTGTTGAAGAACAGAAAACCTACACAAGATACAAATACTGTCTATGGTTTGGACTCTTCTAATTTATTTATTTTTTTAATGAGGTGCAACTTCTGCCTGAACCAGGGTTAGTAGAAGTACAGAAACCTATCCACCTAAACTATCAGGTTCTATGAAAAGTTTTGGATTTGCTAAGGCTTTTTTTTATTTCAAAAACACCACAGAAAATTATTCACTAGGTCTACATATTGAATTTCAAGTAGAACACTTATCCAGGATTTTAACCAAAGTATCTGGGTTCATTCTTCCAAATCATCAAACTGGCTCCTAATAAAGTATTTTGTACTGTTTCTTGAGGGAACAAATAGTGTATCTGAAATCAGGGGAAGAAATCAAAATAATTATTTATTTACCTACTTTGCCATGAATAACTCTTCTGACTTTCTGAAAATGCTATAGATTACAAACACATGAACTGACTGCTTGTGTTATAGACAATAGACCGCCAGTTACAGACAATATCAGGCTTTGATTTTGGTCTTTTGAATCTCAGGAGTGCAATTTAGGATTCCATGAGCTGATAAACATACGTTCCTATTTCACATCTAATCTGAGGAGGTAAGTGGCTTAATGGGTATTATGTGTGTTAAGCATTCATTTCCATGAAATAAAATTGTTTCCTCCAAACACAACTGAAGATCCTCGTTTAGTGCCTCTGAGGTAGTTTTATAAAAGGCACTGCAGATTTAGTTTCATTAGGCTAGTAACACTTGCAATGAAGTATTCCTCTCTAATACCTAAAGACTTAAGGAAAATTAATAGCTTCACAAAACGTTGAGAGTCTTCTTGAAGTATGACTCCGGCTGCAAAACCTAGTTATCCTTAAAAGTGAAGTTTAATGGGTTATTTTGTTACTTTGAACTTTTGAAGTCTTGCAAGACAAGCTAAGTAATTTGCTGAAGAAACAACACAGAAGAGGTCAGAGGAAACACTCTCACTGCTCTGAATCTGGAAGACAGAGTTCTCAGTCAAGAACTCTTCAATAAAATAATGCACACAGGAAAGGACAGCAGTCTTATGGATAATTCAGATATGATAACTTTCTTTTCCATATGACTTTCCTGAACACAGTTAAAAAAAAAACAACCTAACAGGAACAATTAAATATAACTTCTAAATTTCACTTAAAGACAAGAATTCAGCTCAGTTTTAGACACTTGAAATATTAAAGGCAGAACAAAGGTCCATTTAATGAACAAGTAACAATAATAATAACAAAGAACACACAACTGAGCAATTTAGTAATTTCTAATAATTAATACTACTTATGTGGCTAGCAATAATAGAAGCATTCACAATAGTTATAAAGTACTGTCTTTTTTCATCTTTTGAAATAGATCTTGAACAGTATGAGTAAAATTGTTTACTTAATTTAATAATAATTATAGTTCTGCATGGCATGGTTTGAATGTAGGATGTAAACCTTTCAAATTAATGGAATTAGGAACTGTAAGGGCAAATGTGTGTTTGAATGAGATCAGAAATGCAAATTTCATTTCTTTAACAACTCTAGGTGTTTAGACATAAAGGTGAAGTGATCCTAGGAAAGGAATAGGGTGTTAAGAATGTTCAGATAACATACGAGACACTTAAGAATTAAGCACTCTATGAAGTGTGCATGATCTGTAAGTATACTCTTTCTTGCTCTTCAATAGTTTTTCCAACAAGTTATCATACAAATCATTCTTGACAAAGTAAATCATTAATACTACACATCTATGAACTAACTGTAAAGAATTTAAAATAACTTTTACTTAAATATGGACAATTCAGTAGCTTATTTGCATTTATTCATCTCCAGGGTAATTGTGATTTTGAACTAAACTTTTCTACCTGATTTGCAAATAGCAGGCTTCACATGATTCTCAGCTTGAACATTAATGTTTCTTCAAAGATCTTGTGTTTTGAAACATCATTTAACTGAGAACTTTCCAGAAGAAATAAACTATTGCTATTCCAGTTGACCCAGATGCTACATTTTCCTGCTCAAGATTTATCAGATCATTTAAAATAATGTCTACAGGAACATTCTTTCAACTATGCAAAACTAATAAAGTTCAAAACAATTTCTTACATGATATAGTGCCAAATATTTTAATTCTACAGGCCACTGGCATCCAATATTCTATTGTTTTTTTCAGTCTCTTTTCATCCTCTTAGGATCACATATTTTTATATCATATTTAGGAAGACTGCCTATTTGTATTCAAAAGAAGCCCATATATTATTAGAAAATAATTTCTGTGGTACAGCCAGATGGAAACTTGTGCTGAAATGAGCATCCTGAAATAATTCAACAAGGGACAAAAAAATTCTTGAACTTGCTAGCATCTTTGGTCTTGAAAACAAAGAGGTATTAGCAAGGTGTGTCTTAGATGGACAAAGAAATTGGCACCCAGGGACAGTCACTGTTTACGGATCCAGCATTTTTAAGCCCTTACACATCGAGTTTTACTTACTGGGTTGGAAACATAATTCTGGTCAAACCTAGGGACAATGCAAAGCAAAAGCTATGTATTTCATCAAGAGATTTTTTTTTCCCCTGCTCTACTCATCGCTTCTATGTCGTTTGGTTGGACGAGGTACACAACCTTTCCGAGCCCCCTTGTGCGATTGGCAGGCAGCTGAGTCCAGCAAAGTCATTCAGCTCTATTTCAGCAAGGAAACAGTTAAAGAGCTCACTCACTGTTCCCCCGTGCCCGGGAGGCAGCCTTTGTGTTTAACATTGGCTGGGGCTCATTTTGGGCTGGAGGTTTGTTTTAATTGGGGGAGGGGGCAGAGAAGACGGGACGCTTCGACTTCTTCGGTCTGTCTTTCTTTTACTGACATTGCGGAGGTGGAGATTTTCAATCCCACCCAGCCAGACGCAGGCAGGAGGATCTGGTAAGACTATCCCAAGAAAAGCCACTCGGAGGAAGCCCACAGCGGCGGCGGAGGCAGTGGCAGCGGCCACAGCATGAGCGTGCGGCTGAGCCCTGCGGAGGATGCCGGCCGGGGGTGAGTGCGCGGCCGCGGGAGCAGCTGCCCCTGCCCGGGGAGAGCCCGGCCCGGGGCCCGGGCCCTTTTCAGCACTTCTCGGTAGCGCTCCAGATGATTATTAGGTGCGCCTCCGTGTGCCTGTGAGTGTGCGTGTGAGCGAGACAGAGAGAACGAACGACAGGCACAAGGCAGCGTGGGGTAACACTTATTAAATGAAGTTCAGGAATATATAGACTTTGCCAGATGCTCTATACAGGCTTCAGGGGAGGCAGTGGTGATTGGCCTAGTGCATGTTGGAATCGATCTTTTGACAATGTTACAAGCGGAAAATGTTTTGGTTTGTGTTAGAGAAAGAAACACAAGGCGATTGAGCCCACAGCACGGAGCGCTCGCTGCCTGTGCCGGAGCGGGAGACAGCCAAGGGAAACTGGGCTGCTCGGCAGTACTGCTTTTAGTGCTTTTGTGCCCTCGTTACGTTTCTTGGCCCCTGGTTACATTTCAGATGTCTGTTGGAGTCATTAATCACTGTTAAGGTTTTAGCTCGTCCGTAATCCTTTGAACAATTTCATTTCCAATAGTATGGGTCTCTTCTTGTGAATCCCGGCACGGGAATTTTTCTGGCTTGATACTCCAGGCAAGTTAGAGGAGTTTTGTTCCCTGCATCTGCGGCTGCTCCTGCAGTGCTGCAGGAGCACAGGCACAGCACACGCATGTGGCCCCCGCGTTAGCACAGCAACCTCCCGCGCTCCAGGTAATCAGATCACATGTGAAGGAGGGCACTAGATTTCGGTATGACAAAAACTTGGTACGGACGCTGGTACCTTACTTGTCTGAGGCAGTTTGCATGTTATATTCTGTAATGGAATAAATACTTGGAAAATATCTACAGAGGAATGAAGGACTGTCAGGAATATATAAGAAAATATCCTTATAAATTAGGATATTAAAAATTGTCCAGTTTTCTTTCTTCTGGAAATGTTTCTTCCAGGAGATGGAAGAGACAGTAACTGGCAATTTTGTTTTCAGCTTTGTGTCCTGGCTGCATGATTTCCTTGCTGCCACCGGGGTTACATGAGATATAGATACAGATATATGAAGTTTTTACAAGAAAATATAATTAAACAGGCAAGATAATAATATAATCACTAAAACATAGGGCTGTGGGTTCTGCTTGTAGCTGTATCACATTTACTTGGGCAAGTATGAACTGGAAATCTAATCTCAATAATTAATTATTCCAGTTTTTCCATTTGTAAACTGGGGAAATACATTAATAGTAAAGAATAAAATTATTAATACTTGCCTGGAAAGAGTTACAGTTAAATGTCTATTGTTTCTCATATGATTTAGAAACCTCATATGAAAAAAAAATGTAACCTTGTGCAAACTATTGCTAATTGCTCTGAGATATCATCATAACCAGCATTTAATAAAGAAGGATTTACTATTCAGTATATTAAACTTTAAAAGCAAGTGCATAGGAACTTACAATTGGTCAGGTCCTCATTTCAAATACACCAATATAAAAGACTGTAACCATGAATCCCTGGTCTGTGAGGGACAGCACTCTCTATGACAGACAGGAATACTCAGGTTATCATTGTTACTGTGCTTAGGTGCACCCACACCTCTAGGGACCACACACAGCAGAAGAGGGTAATAGTAAATATTTATACTGTGGCTACTTCCAGAAGTCCTATCAGTAAACTGTCTCTTCTTTCTCTAGTAAATTTCTTGCTATAAACTCTGAATTACTAGCCCCAAAGGAATGAAATTAGGATTCATTTTTGTAAAAGGATCCTCCCAAACCCTTCATGTGAGTCCCTAGAAATCAGAAAGTTATAAATACTTTACTTTCTACTCTTCTTCTAGCAACACAGCAGCGCTTGCGTTATTTTGCAGATTTGAGTAATGTAAAAAAAAAAACCCTTTTCCTTAAATTAAACTGAGGCTTTAAGAAAATGGACTTGAGTGGCCTTCCTCTATGGCAGAGAGCCAGCTTTTGTGGCAGAGGATAGGCAGTAGTACCTATGGGGGCTGAATCCTATGATGCTTCCTCTCCTATCTGGAAATGTCATTAGATCTTGCTTAAAATACCAAACCAAGTATTATTTATCTTTAAAAGAGCTTAGCTTTGCTGTGGCTAAGCACTGAACATGAGTTGCAATGACTTTCAGGAACCAAATTACAATTAAATGTTTAAAGGGATTTTCCTCATCAGAGGTCTGCCCTGAGACTAAAAAAGACTTCCTCTGAATATTTATGGACTCTGGATTTGGTACAAAAATTGTATTTGCAATACAGGTATTTTCAGTCTTCATTTGAAACCCAGGTAATTAAAAAGTCAGAAAAAAATACAAATCCCCATAGGTACAATATATAAAAAATACTCAGAAAATTAACATATTTGCTAACCTTTAGTTATTAATGCAGTTCTGTTACCTTATTTTTTTCTTTGAAAAAAATAACAAGTTTTATTTTTAGCTAAATTATCACTCCACAGTCCCCAAGGCCTCTGTTTGTGTGTACGCTTTTCTTGCCAGACTGTATTTTAAATTAAAACTTTATCCACCATATTTTTCCAATCATACACAAATTCTGCCTCATACGAAAAGGGGTTTTGCAGGATCTCATTTGAATAAGCTATCAATTATTTATGGAATTTTTGTTTGCTTTTTATCAGACAGTTAAAATGGGTAATTTAGATTTCAGATTCACACAGTGATTATATACAGGTGTTTTTATATTGTGCTGTAGAGTCTCTACATTCCAATACCCTTCCTAAGTGAGAAGTGGGGTGCATTAGTCTATCTGTTGTATTGATTTTGTGTTTCTTCTTTTTTTTTGTTTTTACTTATTGTTTCACTCTGCAGGTGACGAAGTGAGAAGTACTGCACTGAAATACTGAAAAACAAACCTTCTCACTGAATTTGCTCTTTTGGAACTTCAGGATGGAAGCCTTGTGTTCAAGAGTTTCCTTGCTGCTGCTGGTTCCAGGATTTGTCCTCAGTGACAGCTCTGACAGATACGCTGTCAATCAGAGTGACTTGGGAAACTACCTTTCCACCATCTCAGGGATTGAATCCAGCATACTGCTCACCACTAGACAGCCCCTGGTGTCCAACCAAACTGTCAAATGCTCCCAGCAGACTAAGATTGCTGAAACTTTTAAATACATTAACACAGTGGTATCTTGTGCTATTTTCATCGTTGGAATGGTTGGGAATGCAACTCTGCTGAGGATCATTTACCAGAACAAGTGTATGAGGAATGGCCCGAATGCACTGATAGCCAGTCTGGCACTAGGAGACCTTATCTATATTGTCATTGATATTCCTATCATTGTGTACAAGGTAGGATGCACCACTAATTATTTTCTAATTGCTGTTTCCTTACATGTACACTGTCTGCTCTCTAGGGTTGCTTCTTTGTATAAATAGTGCTCTTTTGTCAATTAATAGTCCAATTAAGAAAAAAAATACAACTCCTTTTTGTTCTACAACAAAACCTTTGCTTACATCTCACCTCCATAAAGAAAAAGTGTATCTCCTTTTAAAGATGATGTAACCCTTAGCTCTTAACCAAAGTGTGGCCTCAGGCATTTCACAGGAGCCCTTCATTTATTAGAGCTACAATAGCTAGCTAAATAATTTTTGAGGAACAACTTTTTAGAAACTGTTCTCCTTGACAGAAAAACAGCATTGGACTACTTGCTGGTTTTGGAATATCCCATCCTTAATTTTTATTTTATAGAAAATACCCTCTGCAATCTGTGGTTTCAAACTGGATTTTAAAATTAAAGAAACAGTGAATTGAAAAGATGTATTTTGTGTTTATATAACTATTGACATTGTAACTATCAACCTGCATTATAACAGGTATATTTAAAAAAAAATTATTTCATGGATTAAAAATATGAATATATCCACACTCACATTTATACAGAAGCATATATATACAGTATGCTGCATTGCCTGGTTCTGATCTTACAGTAGATAAGTCTTCTAACTTTATCTCATTTTATTGTAATATGTATTGGAAACTAGCATAAAGGCTCTTAATAATGCATGTGATTTAATGAAAACTCTAGTTTGCACTTTTCGATATTCCACCTGCAAAATTTAATTATCAATTTGTTGATAAGATAGCAGATATTTTGGATTAACAAACTGGTTAACAATCATCTGCCTGATTTGCGATCCACTTGCCTTCCATAGCTGTGTAGGTGTTTAATGGGACATGGGATTGGGATTCTGCAGGTTTTCATTATTCTTAGCTAACTGGACTCATAGCCTGGACTGCACCTCCCATAATGCATTACAGTTACCTCCCTGGTAAATTATCCTGACATCTTTATACTTAATTGCTAAGGCAGTGTTTCTAATTCACCTGATATTTCTAATAAGAAATTTTAAGGAAAAATGGTATGTGCTTTTTCAGAGCTGGGTCTGGGAAAGAACAGGTATTTTTATTACACTTTTTTTTCCTAACCATTCAAGAGCTCTGCTGCTTCCTCACAAAGAGGAATGGAAACCTGGAATTAATTTTGCCTTTCAAAAGTGCCTTTTGATAGCCTTCTGAGTAATCTTTAGAAACCTAGTGAAAAGAAAACTATGTATTTTATACTGCATTTATTATTTTGCAATACATTTTTCCTATTAATTTTATGATGCTTCTTTGGCATTCTGTAGGTTCACTTGCCTTGCTGTAAGTTGGGAATTGACATCTAGTGTGAGGTGTCCCTGCCCATGCAGGGGAGGTAGAAAGAACCCAATGATCTTTAAAGTCTCTTTCAACTCTAACCATTCTTTGATTCTATAAGTTATATGATAAGCTGAACTGTGGTCCTGAATACTTCCATACAAATGAAGTTACTTTAGCATATAAGAAAAATTATTTCTGTACTGTAGAGAAATATTTCATAAATAAAGGCTGTAAATGAAAATGCAGCCCCTTGACATCAATGTATGTCAATTCTCACATGTAAGAAGGCAGAATTAAAATGGCATTTAAAAGCATAATTCTAGCTTTTAGTAAGTTTTTGTATGCTTGAGCATCCAAAATAAATTGTTTTTAAATTGCCATGTAGAACCATCTTGTTAGCTGCATCTGTTCTGACACAGAGAAGCATTTATAGCATTCACAGGAGAGCACTAGTATTTCTAATATGAAGTTCTATTATTATTTGTAGTCCATTTTTCATATAACTATTCAGCAATGTGTCTGCCTAGATCAGGAGTTGATCTTAAAGTTTGTTAAATGGCATTC